AAAGATATGTTTCCACATACAGGCTCAGATGAGCCATGGTGGGAGACCATCGACGCTGCACCGGCTGATGTAGTCACCTATATTGTTCAGCGAGAGGATACCGAAGGCCAACTGGTGCCCGTAAAGTTCCATGACGGCCGTTCTCTGAATCTGTGTCTCCTGGTGAAACGCGACAACCGCAAGAAGCACAACTCACACGAGTGGTTCTTCTCCTGTGCGAAGGTGTTTGGTGCCAAGTACGCATTGACGACAGACTGCGGCACCCTCTATGACTCGGAGTGCACTTATAGACTTTTGCGACATATGGAGGAAAATGAGGGCGTTCAGACCTGCACGGGTCGACAGCGGGTCATGTCCATGGGGATGCAGGAGGTTGAGAAAGGGGATTCTCTTATGGAAATGTGGTACCGATCTATTCAAGCATTTGACTACGAGGTGTCAATTACCTCATTCCAGGCTGCATTCGCACTAGTAGGGTTCCTGCCTGTCATACCCGGGCCGTTGGGCATGTGGCGCATGGAGGGGCTGGACGATGCACTGGAACATTACTATACTATCGCGAGCGCCAAGCAGACTGGGGAACTCATTCAGGGCAACCTTCTCTTGGCCGAAGATCGCATCCTCTCATACGGCGCAGTGTTCTTCACCAAAAAGAGGGCAGATTGGGTTTAGATGCCAAGTTTTACTCCGAGGCCGAGGTTAACCCCTCCGTGCTGATTGCTCAGCGTCGACGGTGGACGAATGGATCCGTCATGGGGTACCTTTATCTTCTCCTTGCACATCCCGAGTATCTTAAGAACTCTCCACAGAGTCTCTGGTTTAAATTCAATGTATTGCTGTTGCTCTGTTTGCAGTTGCTAATGTTTATGCTAGCTACCCTCTCACCTGCCTTCATCGGCGTCATGTCGTTCTGGGCGATATCCTATACGGCGCACTTCTTTGCCCCCGATTGGTTGACCTATAGCGAGGACCAGGATGTCGATTATTATACATTCGGCTTCCTGGGCCTCTACCTGGGTCTGTATACCCTGATGGTGGCCGTGCACTACTTCCGCAAATGGGTGGGTCCAATCTACAACCTGTGGACTGCTATGGGTGTGTGTATCATGATCAACATTCTCCTTGCAGTGTCGGTGAGCATCATGCTTCAAGATATCGTCACGATTGTGATTATTGTCATGGGCATGGGTATGCCCATCCTCCTCGCCGCGCTGCACGACTGGTCCGTACTCTTCCTGGTGCTCATTAATCTGCTACCTTACCTGCTCATGATCCCCACGTTTGTCGGCGGGTTCAGCGCGTACGCTTCGGCCCGGATCTGGGATCTCTCGTGGGGCAATCGACCTACCGAGGCTAAGGTCGTTTCCGTGGTCGACGACGAGCAACAGAAGCGCGAGGACGAGAGACTGGAGGAGGAGAAGGAGCTGAAGCGAGCTGAGCAGCGGATTGAAA